CAAAGAGGATACACTTTTATTCAGAAAGATGATGGCACTTTGGAACGTATGTCATTAACGGGAATACACTCCCTCTTTATGGAATGTCATTTTTGTAAATTTCGAACTGATTTCATCGTTTATATAAAATCACAGAAAATAAGATAAGTGTATGGTCTATTTCTGCTTCTGAAACCTACGATGAACACTTTACGTATCAGTCAAATTACTAAAAGAGCCAGATATGAATAACATGTAAAGTCAATTTGTTCTTCAGAAATTAATTATTCTCGAGACAAAAATATTGATGTAACCGACGAAGTTAAATAGCTTTTTAAGGCATGAGTGTTCTTGTAGTAGACAGATTTTTCATTAACAGGTCTTGTTAAGCGAAGTATTATCACAATACGCCTACAGTTCCAACTGCATAGTAACAAAGGAAATGAGCATTGTTTGTTTGAGTACATGGCAATTATTGTGAATGCCACTTAAGAAATTATGACCGTCTATTGCCCTTAATATATAACGATTAGGTTTTTAAAATTCGATGCGTCATATTTGCCTTAACGAACCATACGTCAAACCCCTGGACATTTCTGAAATCATAAAAGCGACTCGCTGTTGTCGCATGTTTTGTTAAGAATAGCCATTAAATCTTATTCATCTCCAAATTTCTGCGGTTCTGGTAGCATGTGCTTGATTGTTTCAACATTTATTCATTAAAATACATCTTTTGATTTGGATTATAAGACTTTGTCGCCATTCTGTTTTTATTCATGTACGAATAATACAATTGAGAATAACAATAAAAGCAGCACTTACGGCAGTACTTTACTCTACCAATTTCATCGTGCTTTACCGCAATTTCCTTGAAAAGGTAATTTTCGCAACATGCACACAACCCATTCAGGGACAATGCTCTTCATTCGCATACGCTGAATTCAAAGACATCAACACAGTTAGTGTACATATTTCATCTGTATATTGAAATGCTAGATTACACTAATGGAAAGTGCAGGCTGTCCGTGAGTGATCATGACGTGCGAATCATCAACCATCAGAAATATTTCTCTGTAACTTTAAGTTCGACTCATTCATGAAATCACGTTTTGTTGTTACCATGGGAACATAAGACTTGTCGGCTTTAAGGAGATCTGACAAATCACAATTAATAAAAACTCTTAATCAGGGTAACCACAACGTAAACAGAAGCGTTGTCATGGAAATGACCACAAACAATTCTGTGTACATTTTGGGAGTGTGACAAGAGAAAATCAAGGTGCGAAATAAGATCAAGTATTTCATAGAGGTACACCTACCTGCTTATGGTGCCCGACTTCGTCAAAGTCCTCTGCGTATTCGTTCTTAACTACCGCCCAACTCACCCTTGTATGGGCAGCTCTTTGAATATTTGGATATGCATTTATTGTTTATACTAAATCAAAAATATCATCTGATCCATTATGTGGTTAAACTAACATTTCCAAGTCAATAGTCAATGTTTTATTTCAATAACTGCATTTCACGCTTCAGACAAAAATGCGCCTCTTCTTTTTAACGGACATAGTCATGTACAGGTATAGAGTAATAATTTATACTAGATAGTTGACGTATGTCATGATACATTGGTTTTGTAATCCATTGTCACTTTTTCCAACACTAGATATCATGTGATACACACCATGTCAATTTACATGCACCTTAGATATATAGGTCTAACACACCGTCAATTGTGCTGCTTCCACTGGTCATAGTTGTATACTGTTCACATTTTACAATACAACATTCAATTAATGGAAATACAAGTGGTATAAATACTTATGCCGAACAGCTTGAATTTAGTGAGATGCATTCAATAAAAACTGAGTAGTTAATTAGACGACTACAGCCCAAATGCAAGGTCGGTCTGAAAGGTAAAACGTATATATGTAAAATGAGAAACAGGAAACATTCGTTTTTACCATAATTTCTTTTGATAATATAGAAATGGTCAGGATTTAAGATGTTTTTCTTCTGTTGTTTCTAACGACCCCTAGTGTTTTGTCATATTTACAAGGTCATAGCATTGTGTGGGTGATCTGAGGTGGACGCCATTAGCATTGGGTGTGGCGTTTTTTCATGCTTACTGAATTACAGTTCTCTAAATGTTTCAATCACTGTCAGTGTATTATCATCCTATTCTCTCCAGGGGAAGTTTGTGTAATTTGAGTTTGATAATAAATAGTCATATGTGTTGTTTTGAATATAAAAGCTTTGCAAAAAAGCGATATTTAAGTAAGTTTTCGTGTCAGTGGGTGTTCGTTAAAATCCTGCGAGCGGTCCATTGAGCCAAGACATCACGGGTTTGTTGAGTGCCTGGATCGATTCTGTCAAATATGCGTACATAGGCCGTGATTTACTGTACTTTGAAAGTTGGTTACAAATAGAAAAATCATTATCACGGTGAAATGGCCTCTGATTTCGATTTGGATCGTAAATCAACGGGGCGTTAATTCGCTTCGCAATGCTCAGCAAGCCATCATTTTGACGCAGAATGTGAACAGTAAATCGGACTTTTGGAAACACGTTATCGGTCACTGAAGTCTCTCTATAAATCAGCGTGAATAATTACCGTAATTTCACTTTTAAAAATCTCTCCATGCAGGTTGTAAATTAGTCAAATCCATCCTGCAGCAGGTCGTTTACGTGCAGGCATTGCGTCGGCTGTGCAATCACTGCCAGAGATAGCGTACACTGGCAAAAACGGGCACCTGCTCCTGTATGTGACACAAAGCTGACCAAGAGAACAGCAGGATTTCAACTCCTGAACTTCATAAACTGCCTCATAGCCAGCATTTAGCTCAGTCGGATTATGTCGGTTTAAAGCCCAATTATTGGGAATAGTTGCTATACGGAATTATTTATTCATGCATCAAATAATATTGCAACTGAACTAAATGTCATATCAATACTCATTTTAGACAATCAGGAGACCAGATGTTTTAACCGATCGTACATGGTAAATAGTGTGCATATTGTAGCGCTTGACACGAAGGTACCTGAAATGTGTAGACCCGTTGTATGATGTACAAGTACATGTATTTCAATTTGACGAACACAGGAAACAAAGGTTATTCATTATCTAGAACACCCAGAAATAAATGACAACAATTAACACTTGTTTTAAGCGCTCACAAGCTCACCATTAGTCGATATAGTGATATGCATTCAGACTTAAGTGGTACCCATTTATTCCATATTTTTCGCCGACGTTAGTTTTGCTGACTAACGTATACAACGTGTGCTATACTCTCTTTCGGGGTTTCGCTCTAAAGTGTCATTTATTTGTCTTTTGGCATTCAGGGAAGATCCCATACAGTTTATTGCCATTGTTATATTATTACTTGACACGTGGTTTATAAATTGGGGTAACAAACGCAGTGAACTCACTAAACGCATGCCACGACGGTCTATCTATCTATTTGCGACGTTGTTCAGAATGTAAACATGGTGATCAGTAGCAACGGTTGTTTTCATAGTGTTACACATACAATAGATAACTAGTTAGTGAAAGGAGACATCGAAGACAATGAGAAGTGTACGTACAATGTGACAATTCATATACAACCACAAGCTAAGTTGATCTTATGTACAAGGTCATTAAATGTGATATCCCCAAGTTGGCAATACTGATTGCGATTTCAAATGCGCTTTAACAACCTTGAATGCGTTTGTGAAGATATACATCCATAAATGTTAAATCCGAGACCTGGTTAAGAATTTATACTTGATCCACGTGTAATCAAAAACTGGAAAACAGTCAATGTTATACAAATATTGGCATTTGTATGCCGCCAAAGTGGTGTTTTGTAAACCTCAGGAAAGATACATCACTCAAGGCGCGCGCCAATAATCGGACAATATCAACGCTGTTAAAACGTCCTTTTCTGACATTCAGGCCAATGAACTTTTGAGCCATACGTAGTATTGACTGAAAGCCAAAGTAAAATTTGTTTTATTTTGCAATTCAATACATGTATGTCAATGTCCTCCAAGTTGTTAAAAATGTTTCAACATTGACGTCATAGACCATTGTTGTCGTCTGATTGATAACATGAGTTCTGTCTTATGATTGGTTATAATAAATCAGCAATTACGTCATCGGTCAGAATTATGTTAATGGTGTTATTGGTCAATATTATGTTTTATCAGACCTCACGTTCCCGGATGAAAGAATATAATCTATGCTATTTCCATAGTTCGTTTGCATACATCCCTCACATTGTTAATAATCACTGGTACATTCAAAAGTCAATTTTGCGTCGACATCCTGATTTCAATGCAATGTGTCGGTGCATGCAAGGTTCACAGACATCTACTGGCAGATCTATATTTGTCTAGGGGACAACTTCAATGATCAACTGAAATCAAAATTACCGGGGGTAGTTTTGAATGATCGTTCATCTGTCATATTCAAACTTTAACTCGCGACATAATAGCCTTGTCACACAATGTGAGCACATTAAAAAATTTTTTAAACAGATTTATTTCTGCAATAAAGATATACATAATAAATAAATTCAAAGCAGGCGGCACGTCGCCACAGCATTATGTGCTCGCCTGCGTTAATATAATTCATAGTAACAAAATTAATTGATTATGATTATATAGAAGTAATGATAATAATTGTGATAACACTAATTAGTACTCATTATTGTAAAGGAGAGCAACAAGGAAGGGGGACATAGACACGGGGCGATATATGCGATATACGAGCACATATTTTCATAATGTGAGATGCTATGAGTAGAAAGCTGTAGGATCTCTTTTGACCATCTATTCTGACGAAAGTTGTTTGTGTGACGTTACAGCAAACGAATCGTTGAACCAAACGATATTTGGAAAATTTCGCCTTTGTACGTTTATATAATTAAATAACGTTATGGTAACGTTACAAAACATCCTGGGTTTTCCTGGTATGGGCAGCCGGAGTAGAAGCAGGACACTGGGTCTGTTGAGATCAGCAAACAAAGATACCACTATTACGTCACCTTGATGGTTGGCGAGTTAAACCCAGAGACCCTAAACTTGTTTTATCTTCATAACTGCCCAATGGAGCAGAACGGCGCCGTCGCCATTGCTACCGTAAGGTATCCCGTTATGCTTGAAACGGGAAAAACATTCACCTGCGCAATTTTCTGCTACATATACTGTGCTGTATTTACCGGTGAGGCTTACTTCTGAACATGAATTATACCACCACCCACCGGCGTACGATTCTGCACAATTGTGGTTATTTATCAGGTCATTGTCGCTCTCGTAAGTGCTAAATTTCATCCCTTGGATAGAGAGCCAAGGCTCGCCATTACTCAAGTTCCCCTCTCCCTGAGGAAAATGGCCCAAAGTGTAGTGTGTCTCCTCGGGTTCTACGGTGAAATTCACGAGGACGTGAGAGAAGTAAGTGTCGGTCAAGACGTCCCTGACTTCGGTCATTAAGGAGTAATTCCCCTGGTTGGTAAGATGATGGAACGCCTCCAGTCCCAACCAATGGTCGCCCGCCACGTCACCAAACCCGTTTCTGAACTCGGTCCATTCTCTGAAAAAAATGATGCACATATTCGTTCCTATGTGAGGTACGTCATGTATGCCTTGGGAGTTTTTGAGAAAACAAGCACGATTTCCTGAGTCTCGGACTTCACGCATGAGAAAAATTGAAGTGCACTGTTAAATTCATCGTAAAATTTCTACAAATGTAAAAAATCGTCTTACAGCCCATATGGTGTATATATGGTGCAAACATCTCACCTGGTAAAATTCAGTTCGTCACTCGTTCTCCGCATCAGAACAGTCCAACCTTGTTCACAGTACACTTGAACTGCTCTCTTCATGCCATGGCTGTATATCCAGTGAACGCCATCTACCTCACCTAAAAGATACATGGTACTTAGAACTCAATTCACATCAGACAATAGCATAATATGCATTAACACGTGTAATTTAACATACTACATATGTAAGCATATATAATTGTATATCCATATATATTGTGTAAATAATGTAGTCTAGAGAGCCTGCAAATGTATTCATATTATTTAGTGCTTAATAAACTTATTATTATTATTAACATCTGACCTCAAGCGTTTCGGTCACGTGATAGGGAAGATATTGACCGCTTTTTGGTAATAAAACTGGCTACACATGGACATCTCTCACCATGCCATTTGCGCTGCCAAAATATTTCACAATACAACTAGTCAGAGTCATAAAAGAAGAACTACAGTACCTCGCACACAGGACTTGACATTATGTTGCCACGGGGCGAAAAGAAAAACAGATGACATAAACTTGTACATTGTGCATCCAATGGTTCAAAACTAATTTCGTAACTCAAATCAGTTTCCAGGTTTAACGTGATAAAACTTGAGTGACTTGGGAAGATACTAGTAATTCCCACATTTGCTGTTTTAATTAATTGAAATTAATTTTAAGTAATGTATATTCCGCAAGGTAATCAATGCGAACCACCTGTACTGTTTCAGACCTGCCTCTAACCGTACTGTATGTCATGCGATCTTAATTCACTACTCTACCCGAATTATATTTCCTAATTGCAACGTATCCTTTCCTCTCTTTAAATTCAGATGCCAATACACAAAGGCTTGTAAAATATTTAGTTTTAAGATTTTTGTTTTCCATGCCACTCCGTTTTTTTTTTATCTACAATAGCCTTTATAATTAAAGTATTATCGAGCCGGGACAAGGGCATTTCTTTGAAAAAATTGATTGTAACATATATCGCAGTAAAAGCACATGATTAAGACCGCGAAATCGAACCGCAAAGATATGTCCTACATCTTAGGCTTGAAAAACGAAATGGGTTTCAGTAAATCGCCCACGAATGTGTACAACAAATAAGAAGGCGTTGTGAACGGACAAGTATTTGAGCAGCTGGACCTGTGTACTTTAGCAACAACTGCTATCCATCGAAATTCAGAATGATGGGAAATCGTTAGATTTGTATTACCAACATCTTTAACGCAATAACATGCTCAAATCTATTAATGCAGAAAGGGTAATCAATACAATTGTCAACCTCGGCAGATAGGGGTTCGGGTTAAGATGTCCATTCTGTGATATCCCATTAGTAAAATAATGGCGTTTTCATTTCTCTTGTGTCATTTTTTCTATTCCTCTGATACAGGTACATATACTGAGTACTGAATAGATGCATGTGTTTGCGCATTCGTATCTTCCAGTACACATGCACCCATTCTTTCACTCACGATCATTGTGCAGGAAAGAAAAGAGAAGAAGGAGAGAGAGACAAAGAGAGAGAGCGGAAAGTAAAGCGACTTTGTGCAATTGCAAAATCTTAAAGGTACATATGAACCGAGCATCGGTGGTGCGTGGNACGATTTCCTGAGTCTCGGACTTCACGCATGAGAAAAATTGAAGTGCACTGTTAAATTCATCGTAAAATTTCTACAAATGTAAAAAATCGTCTTACAGCCCATATGGTGTATATATGGTGCAAACATCTCACCTGGTAAAATTCAGTTCGTCACTCGTTCTCCGCATCAGAACAGTCCAACCTTGTTCACAGTACACTTGAACTGCTCTCTTCATGCCATGGCTGTATATCCAGTGAACGCCATCTACCTCACCTAAAAGATACATGGTACTTAGAACTCAATTCACATCAGACAATAGCATAATATGCATTAACACGTGTAATTTAACATACTACATATGTAAGCATATATAATTGTATATCCATATATATTGTGTAAATAATGTAGTCTAGAGAGCCTGCAAATGTATTCATATTATTTAGTGCTTAATAAACTTATTATTATTATTAACATCTGACCTCAAGCGTTTCGGTCACGTGATAGGGAAGATATTGACCGCTTTTTGGTAATAAAACTGGCTACACATGGACATCTCTCACCATGCCATTTGCGCTGCCAAAATATTTCACAATACAACTAGTCAGAGTCATAAAAGAAGAACTACAGTACCTCGCACACAGGACTTGACATTATGTTGCCACGGGGCGAAAAGAAAAACAGATGACATAAACTTGTACATTGTGCATCCAATGGTTCAAAACTAATTTCGTAACTCAAATCAGTTTCCAGGTTTAACGTGATAAAACTTGAGTGACTTGGGAAGATACTAGTAATTCCCACATTTGCTGTTTTAATTAATTGAAATTAATTTTAAGTAATGTATATTCCGCAAGGTAATCAATGCGAACCACCTGTACTGTTTCAGACCTGCCTCTAACCGTACTGTATGTCATGCGATCTTAATTCACTACTCTACCCGAATTATATTTCCTAATTGCAACGTATCCTTTCCTCTCTTTAAATTCAGATGCCAATACACAAAGGCTTGTAAAATATTTAGTTTTAAGATTTTTGTTTTCCATGCCACTCCGTTTTTTTTTATCTACAATAGCCTTTATAATTAAAGTATTATCGAGCCGGGACAAGGGCATTTCTTTGAAAAAATTGATTGTAACATATATCGCAGTAAAAGCACATGATTAAGACCGCGAAATCGAACCGCAAAGATATGTCCTACATCTTAGGCTTGAAAAAACGAAATGGGTTTCAGTAAATCGCCCACGAATGTGTACAACAAATAAGAAGGCGTTGTGAACGGACAAGTATTTGAGCAGCTGGACCTTTGTACTTTAGCAACAACTGCTATCCATCGAAATTCAGAATGATGGGAAATCGTTAGATTTGTATTACCAACATCTTTAACGCAATAACATGCTCAAATCTATTAATGCAGAAAGGGTAATCAATACAATTGTCAACCTCGGCAGATAGGGGTTCGGGTTAAGATGTCCATTCTGTGATATCCCATTAGTAAAATAATGGCGTTTTCATTTCTCTTGTGTCATTTTTTCTATTCCTCTGATACAGGTACATATACTGAGTACTGAATAGATGCATGTGTTTGCGCATTCGTATCTTCCAGTACACATGCACCCATTCTTTCACTCACGATCATTGTGCAGGAAAGAAAAGAGAAGAAGGAGAGAGAGACAAAGAGAGAGAGCGGAAAGTAAAGCGACTTTGTGCAATTGCAAAATCTTAAAGGTACATATGAACCGAGCATCGGTGGTGCGTGGATTCCCAGTAACATATATAAACCACTTCTAATAGTTTCTAATACGACTCAAATAAATTCGACATGCCAAGTGATAAACTGAATAAATCGCTACCAGAAAAATCCGTTCAAATATCATTTTTGCTTAAAATTAAACAATGCCTATTGATAGTTCTCTTTGTTATACTACTTGAAACTTCATATGCATCTTTATCCTGCCTTTAGGTGATCTATTAACACATTGTTTTACGTATTGCATTGACTTTTTCATATTTGCATGTGTACCACTTTCTTACGTATATCGCATAAGTGTCGTTAACAAATGTCATTCACGAAAATGACGATCAGTGCAAGTACAGGCAATCAGTGTCATCTTTAGTGAAGTGGTGTACAGACAACATGGTTTGATTTTGAGTGCTTGCAAAACGAAAGAGGTTACTGTTGGCAACACAAGAAATCAAAACTGTAAAGACCCATTGAAATCAGTGGGGAGGCTGTGAAACAAGTCTAATAACAAGCTATTGGGTGTTGTATACACATTACATTGATTTTCGCCAAATATTTGCATGTGTACCACTTTATTACGTAAATGGCATAAGTGTTATTAACAAATGTCATTCACGATAATGACGATCAGTGTAAGTACAGGCAATCAGTGCCATCTTTAGTCAAGTGGTGCACAGACAATATGACTTGATTTTGAGTGTTAGCAAACAGAAGAGATTATTGTAGACTACAGAAGGAATCAAAATTTATTAACAAAGTATGTAAAATCTTAATGATACATGTAGTAATATTAGGTACACTGTACTCACCATAGTCACTGCAATCTTGTGGTAGCTGTTATAAATAAAAAGAAGAGACTTCCAGTTACTTTCAGAAAACTTTGGGATACTGTCAAACAAAAGTGGGGGAGTCGTTCCAATAAACACACAGCCCATTCTTTCCAGACATTGTTAGAAATAATATAATAACTGCCCGATATGTAATTTTCAAACACAATTAAAATTTCCAGTTTAACTCCTTTCTCGCTAGTGTTCTTAGTAGGTATAGATTGGACGCCTCTCTTAATGTCCTGTCTCGTCTCAAATCCAAAATTTCAAGGATCGAAAAAACTTTTTGCGGAGACATGTTGCTGATGAGAAGTTGTGGTCTGCACCACCTTCTCGTTGTTTCCCCAAGTTTTATGTTATTTTGCCTTTCATCAGTTTTGGAAAACAATTTTGCTATATAATTGAGCTATTCCATCCCCCTCCCCCTGATCCTGAATGCTAAGCTTCGACGGACATGTCAAATGAACGGAGAATGATAGCATAACAAAGCCAATTTATATGGGGAGCTTTGTAAGGGGGAAAGGAACGGTGGCCACAGAAACGCTTCTGTAACAACACTTAGACCTACTCGGCTTACACCCGAAAAACTGGAGAAGTATATAAAAAATCGAAAAAAATAAACCAGAACCCCACAAAACTTAAAGCATCGGCAGACCCCATCCATCCAAACCTGGTCAGTTTTCTACAACACCAACAGTGTATAGATGTAATTATACAGTCAATACACCATACAAGGGAAGTCAAAACAGAATGAACTAAAGAATTTACCTTGAAGAAATATCTGCTTCCCACTTCGTTTGTTAAATTGTCATCTTTAGAACTGATATCTGAACGGGAATTCAGGTCACAGATTGCCTCAGTCCCCCGCATATTGAAAGATTTGCAGTCCATGTTCTTCATGCACTTCATGGCACATTCAACACTTGTGAAATCTCTCCACGTTTCAATAACACTGTTAGGAAAATATTTCCCGTCCGTGGCGAAGAAGAAATTAGAAATATCATTAGCCAAAGTAGTTTCGCCAGCTGAGCTTACGTATACATACATATTTGCCAAAAACAGGCTAAAAACGCACCCCCAGAGCAGGACTACCCTGTGCGCTGACATATCGAAGTAGTGCACCAAAAAGTCTTGGTTTAAACTGTCGCAATAAATACGAGCGCGCAGATATTGATATAACAATGCCCTAAAATGTTATCACCTTGTAACTTGATGCTGGAGCATAATTACGTGTTACAATTTATGTCCAGGAAACAGCCATTAGTAACCAATGGAGGCGGTTACCATTGGTCCTTGCTGTTGATTAAACCCCAAAAGGTTTAAAGTGAAATGGTAACGCTGACATCATATCCGCGCAAAAACGTAATATACGTACTTCATGCCAATCATGCAATCGTGCTTCAACGATACTTCTCAGTTGTTAAAAGCGTACTCCGAATTTGAAGTATGAAAAATGGCATTCTTTGCGATCCTGCTTCTAATTCGCAGTGATAATTAAGCACTATTGATGCTTTTAAGCAGTGGTACACGATTCATTTGTGCTCAGAGTGAAGTAGGCCCGAAGTAACATCCGTAACGGAAGCAGCCTTCTACTCACAGGTAAGATACTGTGTATAATTCAACGTCAAATAGAAATAGAGCATTTTGCTCTATAAATTAAACGCATGCTGCTTCTCTACTGCTGAAAGATGTCTGTAACATCTATCCATTTACTATTTCATGACCGTTTTATGTCTAGCATATAGATTCGCCAAACATCAGGATCGAAAAGCGGCATTATATGGATATAATATCCCTTTTTCGAAGCCTGCGATCGGCAAAACATTTTAAAGTTGAATCTGCTGCAAAGCATTTACAGTAAATTATTATTAACAAAAAACCAAGTAAGCTGTCTTTTTTTGCACACTGTCCCTTTTGCAACTTAAAATTTAAATTAATAACTTATCCGAAAAGTGAACATTGTCTTGAAACTCGACATCCACTAAATGTGCAACGGCATCAACTATTAATTTCTATCATTATGCATTTCGGGTATCGCTGCCCGTTTGGCAGCCATTAAGACCGGTGTCACATGGCAGATTGCCATGGGAATATGGGGTTTTTAATTTCGCACGACGATGATCCCGAAATTGGTAAGCAGTTGGTCAATATCCAACACGTACATGTACAAGGATTTCATTTGGATAGCTAGGCCAGCGAATAATTCCCCTTTGCTTTTTGACAGTAAAGATAGCCCAGTAATCAATTTTCGTCAAAATTAATTGATTTTTTCTCAATAATTACAATATATTACAACATATCCTATTTCCTGATTTTCAACACGGCCCAGCGCAAAAGAATGTCGTTTGATCCGATGTCCCCAAAAGGAATCCCCACATGTTTGGCCCAACGCCAGCAACCAGAAGTGCACGAGGACGGTGTCGCCATCTTGGAAGTGAGGCTGATTACACTACACGCCTTGTACCACCAACCTCCACCGTGTAGCACGGCACAATTAGCCAATCCTTTCTTGTCGTTGTCTCGATCAAGAGTGGTGAATTTGTAAAACCGATTCCACTTATGAGATGTGCCATTTGCAGATAGGTTCCCAACCCCACCAGGGGTTATATCCAAGGTGTATTCTTCATCCTCCGAACTCACGCGAAAGCCCACGTGAATGTCCGAGAAATACGTGTCAGTCAACATGTCCCTGACTTCGGTCATTAAGGAGTAGTTTCCCTGGTTCGTGAGATGATGAAACGCCTCCAGCCCCAGCCAATGGTCGCCTGCCACGTCACCAAACCCATCTCTGTATTCATCCCATCCCCTGTTGTATTTGATGGAAAAGAGATGCTCAAACGCATAGATAAATAATAATAATAATAATAATAATAATAATAATAATAATAATAATTTGAGTTTATAATGTTCATCTTAACATTGCTGGCTGTCTATGGTTCTTTTAATGCTACCGTTTGTTTACAAACCATAAGAAAGAAAAATAAAATGCATAATTTAATATGGCGGCTACATGTACTTGTCTATTAGCATAAACGAATGTATAAATTCAAGTAAGATGAAAAAGGATGTTATAAAAAGTTGCTATTATCTTACCAAAAAATGTTGATTATTTTTAATGAAGTTATGCTATTTCTATTCACTAAGATAAATTTAACCTGTTGAAGTTCAGTTCGGGCCCCGTCCGCCGCATCAGCAAGGTCCATCCCTGCTGACAATAAACTTCAATCGATTTTTTCATGGACTGAATATAAACCCAGTGAACTCCATCCGCCCCATCTGAAATATAACATCTGGTGCTTTGTTACTTGATTGACATGCCGTTTTGTTTTACGTGGATTTATGTACGAAGAAAACCACATAAACTATGAGGATATGCATATCCTGGGATTACTACAAGATACTGATAACTGTTCACTTTATCAGTCATGCAAATGTGTTCACTCACTCATGTGATACATACGACCACACCAACTGCACATCACACACTGCTACTTGACTCTGAAAGAAGAGGGACATGGCTCTCCTGCTATGACTTTATAGACTCTACAGTTATGTAAGTGTTGAAGTTTGCTTTAATTTTATGAATTAATGAATATTATAGTTTTAAATTGTATTTGTATTTGTTAGGTATATTGTGTTTTTTATTTCAGTGACCTGCTTATAGGCTAATCGGCTTATCGACTACATGTATCAGCAAACAATACAGCAATTGTAAAAATAAACTGAAAACTAAAAGCCAGCCGAATTCAAAAAGAGTGTTTTCTATCCCGACACAGTGCAAATTGTTCAAAGTGGGTTAGTGGAAAACCGAGAGGGGACTGCGTCAGGAATCAAAACGACAACAATTCACCTGTAAGTAGTAAGTAAGTTTTATACTCTCTTAGATCCGTCAATGAAAACGAAGTTTATGGGATAATTTCAAGGTCAAAGAGTGAATACACACACACACACACACACACACACACGTATTCTAATATCCATTCCCGCTCATGTACCCTGCATTTATAGATAAAGAAATTTGAATTAAAGTAAACAGGAATGTTCCAAAATGAGAATTCACGTTTTAAGTGTGTTGTAGACTAAGTATAAGTACAAGTAAAATGTGCATTAAAAATGAAAGAACGAAAACTTACCGTAGTCACTGCAATCTTCTGGATACTTCGTAAAATTAAAAAAAAAGGACAATGAGACTATATATATATATATATATATATATATATATATATATATATATATATATATATATATATGTTTCACGTACATCTACATGTATGACAGCAACATCTGATAATCTTTCGGACTTGGTATATTGAACTTTACATAACAAGAAATACCAAAATACGCAATCTCTGTGATATATTTGGCATGTATATATATATATTTTAAAAGAAAAGGACCACTACCTTTAAATAGTACCTGCTACCTGCTTCGTCTATCAGCTTCTGACCGCCAATTTTAACATCAGAGTCCCTGTTCAGCTCGCAAACAGCCCCAGCAGACCGTATATTGAAAGACTTACAATCCTTGTTGTCCAGGCACTTGAAAGAGCAGTCAACTGCCGTGGAATGTTCCCACGTTTCGATGACATTGTGCGGCAAATATTTTCCATTTGTGCCGACAAAAAATGTTGATATCCCTATTGTCGAAGATACATCATCAGCTGCGGTTGGATGTATATGTGAAAGTGAAATTAATTTGAGAAAAAAAGACGCGCTCAGAAAAATGAGACTTACACGTACAGGTGGTAACATGATGAGATGATATCACCACCGGCTAATTAGACGAATACGATGCGCAAATATGACAGACCCCACCTCACAAATCATTAAAGTGAGTTATTACATCATTAAGTATTAAGTTTCGTGGGAATGACAGATGTTCACAATTTCATCTGATCAAATTGCTCTTGAGTACGATATTTCACTACGCTTTAAGACGGGGACTATTGACTGTAATATGAAGGTTACAAGGACAAAACGTCATTTGGATTTGATACGTTCCGCTATACCAATACGTTTTTGGAAGGGATAAGGGGTAACTGTGCTCCAGAGGATAGGGAGAGTGTGGAGGGTGTCACGTGACCCAATATGCTTGTCCCTGGAACCGAAATAATCTCTGTAGAATACAGTCCTACGAGTGCTGAATAGGTTTATTTTTCGGGCTTTTGACAATAGAACTTACACATTTCATCAATATCTGTACTATATAACAGCACTGGATACCAAGAACAAACTGCAATCGGTTCCTGGTTGCGACATTTCTCAACTAACACAATCAGTAGCATTGCGACGACACATTTCACTCCCGTATTGGATCCTGGCTGCATCCTATCTCAACTAATACAATCAATAACAGTGCAGCAAGGCATTTAACTCACGTTTTTAAGTTCGTGACATGAAAAGTTCAGGGGTATACCGTCTTACTTCTCTCAGAGTATTTTTCTGATACAGGCTATCTAAAATCAAGGCTATCTAAAATAGTAAACAAAATATAATCATAAACTTATTTTTAAACGGTCTACTAGCATGTAGACGTTGCGAACAGTTCTAGATGGCATCTACCGGTAGACAAACACTTATGCATGATTTCAAAGAAGTAATATATAATAATATTTAAACATCATAAATATTTTTTAGTATAACTATCTACAGGGAAAAAATAAATTTACTTCCTTTCTCTCTGATTTTATCCGTGTGAGCGGTCACGTTCACAATCCATCTATCCCCAATGGCAACTGTTTTCATAAGCTCCACTTCACTGATACACTAACGCTACTCTTTATTACCATTCCTGTGTTCATACTGTCTAACTGTTTACACCCAGAAATATGTTCCCTTCTTCCTTTGAGTTGAACAAAGAACTGGTACTCTGTTATTCTATGTGATTGCTGTTTCATTGAACCTTAAAATTTACTCTGGTACATTTAGATTAGCACTTATACGTCAATTCATGCAAACAAACATAGACATCGCCTCTTATTTAAACTCTTGAGTTATGTAAAGTGGAAGTTTTAGGCTGCGTGTGCAACAACAAAAGTATTAATCCTTTCTAAGAAAATCTCGGACATTGGAGTTGTATTGATTTTTGCTGTTGTTTGAAGTGACAATTGTTGAAACCTTTCATATCGACATTTTATCAGAGTATCCTGCAGTTTTTAATGTTGTGATCTATAAGCCATTGACATACACATGCGTGTATGGAATAAAGAGTCATATTAACACATGGTTTTGCACATAACGTCAAGATTTATATTAAAAAATAGTATTTAAAATTTTCATTACATGTTTACTTAACTGCATATAAAATATTTGAAAGTGTTCAATTATTTCAAAGTAATATTTATGTGGCCTTTTAAACACAATATTGCAGACTGAAAATTATCCCCTTTAAAAGGCCTACTTGTCGTTGTTTTTAGATAATTTTCAATCAACTCAGGTGCACTTTGTTTCAAAACTTGATAAAGTATTTCGTCACACGAATATACACGCTTGTTCTGTTGTAGTAAAGTATAGCTGCGTTCTGAATGTCTTAATCACAAATTAATTGATCAAATAAATATCCTGAACTATCCAGTTTGATAAAAAGTTTTCAATTACCAGTAGGCAATCGGTTTTGACGCATTTCAAAGTCAGGTGTCAATTTTCAGGTGTTACATGTATTTATCGAACACTTTCAGTGCCCACTTGACTCTTTATGTATCAGCATACATATTTTTAACTTAAAATTACATCGACAATAATTCATGAGATATTTATTTGCTAGCCAATCTTCTTGATCTTCATAACGGCAAAATTGAGCAAGATGTCATCCGAACCATTCCCGCCAAAAGGGACACCGTTGTGCTTGAAATAGGCGTAACATCCGGACGTACAATGCGTCGTCTGCCCGGTGAGAGACACCAAGGTGCATGCCCTGTACCACCATCCCCCTCCGAATGTAGCCGCACAGTTTGAGGTACTAGTCGTATCCTGGTCCTTGTCATAGGCCGAGAACATCATGTCGTAGTTGATATACCACTGATCTTCCGCGGAACTAGTTAGGTTTCCATCGCCAAGGGGAAACTCATACAAAATATATCCCTCTTTCTCTGGCCCGACACGAAAGTCGACGTGGATATCAGAGAAATAGGTGCTTGTCAGATTGTCCCTGACTTCGGTCATTAAAGAATAGTTTCCCTGGTTGGTGAGATGATGGAACGCCTCCAGTCCCAACCAATGGTCACTCTCCAAGTCACCGAATCCGTTCCTATAATCTGACCACGTCCTGTGAATTTAAGAAATGAGATAAATGATAAGATAAAAGACTGCGTTTGCCTTGTTAACCATATACCAGTGCACATGCACTGTGGGAAATTTTAAATTGTAATGGAAACCGCCCAAAATAAACCTTAAACGCAGTTGTCGGCACTGCGTGGCTAGAAACCCTGATTGTAAGGTGGGGTCAGCTTTTTGACGACATGATTCTTACACCCCATTCCCACAGATTTTTAGATCGATCTATCCCTGTGGGGAGTCTCACTAGATTACTGTCAGCTTAGCCGGCTTAAGCGTCTGTCCCGCCTACTGAAAGCTGTAAGGGGGTAATTAACTATGGTGCGCGCTCGGCTGATTGCAATTTAGCTTGAACCCCCAGGGAGTTAGGTCGATCTAAATTTTAATCCCTGTATCGATCTAAATCTCTGGGAATACACCCTAAGACCCTATTTCCAGAGATTAGATCGATCTACTTTAGATCGACCTAACTCCCTGGGGGTTCACGCTAAATAGCTGTCAGCCGAGCGGACACGAAAGTTAATTACCCCCTTACAGCTTGTAGTAGGCGGGACGGACATTTAAGCCGGATTATCTGACAGTAATCTAGTGAGAGCTCTGGGAATACAGCCTAAGTGTATGCGGCAGGCATGCCCTCTCATGACTATTTTCAGGCAGGACGAGACATGACGTAGTGGTTGGTAAGAATGCAATCTAAATTCCAAACACTTTATTAAGGGTTTTCTTTCCACATCTTGATTCGGGTCTGTTATATGTGCAGTAACACTTAACTATTTAATAATATGACTAAATTCTCTAAAGGTAAGAAAAATGATAAGATAAAATACTACTTTTACCATATACCAGTGCACATGTACAACGTGAATATTTAAAATTGTAATGGACCCCCCATATTTAACTTAAAACGAAGTTGTCGGCACTAGAAACCCTGATAATAAGGTGACTAGAAACCCTGGTTTTAAGGTGGGGTCACCTTTTGGCGGTATGATAGAAATGTTGAGTTGATAACTCTAAAGTGCAGGCCATTCTATCTACCACGTGAATTCACTAGTGTCATAATTACAGCCGTCTACATTCACCCCCGGGCTGATACAAAATTAGCAATACAAAACCTCACATCAGTCGTCACATCCCATGAAAATTCGGAACCTGATTCATTATCTATTGTCCTTGGTGATTTCAACAAAGCCAACTTGAAAACGACACTACCTAATTATCGCCAGGTCATCAATTTTCCGACAAGGGGCAATTACATTTTGGACCACTGCTATTGTCCTATTAAAGGGGCGTACCAACCAGTCAAACGATCCTCTTTAGGAAACTCCGACCACTGCATTATCTTGCTAATTCCAACATACAAGCAACAATTCAAGGAAAACAAGCCCACCATAAAAACAGTAAAAGTTTTCAACCAAGCAGCCATAGATACCCTCCATGATTGCCTCGAGGCCACCGAGTGGGAGGTATTCAGAGATACTGAGGACGTTAACAACTACACTGATGCCGTTACTGGTTACATCCAATTCTGTGAAGAAATGTGTGTCCCGAGAAAGCAAGTGAAGCAGTTTACTAACAACAAGCTCTGGTGCAACAACAAGATCCGCAAGCTCATTAAGGAAAAAGATGTAGCCTACCGTAACAAAGAACAACACCCCGAAAACTATCGGAAGTTAAAAGCAACCCTGCGATGGGCCATCAAGAACGCCAAGAGAGACTTTAAAAAGAAATTCGAAGAAAAGTTTGAGACCAATAACGTAAGACAGCTATGGTCAAACATGTCATCACTCACTAAATACAAAGGTCCAAAACACGTACTGAGTGACGACGACACAGCACTTCCCGACAAGCTGAATGAATTTTACGCTAGGTTTGACATTGCCAACAACTCGGACTTAAGATCGGCTCCACTAAATGCACATCCACATGACCCACCGCCCTTTTCTGTTCAGAAATGGCAGGTTCAGTGTCATTTTATGGGCCTCGACGCACACAAGTCATCTGGACCAGATGGTATTTCGCCAAGGCTTCTNACTATTTTCAGGCAGGACGAGACATGACGTAGTGGTTGGTAAGAATGCAATCTAAATTCCAAACACTTTATTAAGGGTTTTCTTTCCACATCTTGATTCGGGTCTGTTATATGTGCAGTAACACTTAACTATTTAATAATATGACTAAATTCTCTAAAGGTAAGAAAAATGATAAGATAAAATACTACTTTTACCATATACCAGTGCACATGTACAACGTGAATATTTAAAATTGTAATGGACCCCCCATATTTAACTTAAAACGAAGTTGTCGGCACTAGAAACCCTGATAATAAGGTGACTAGAAACCCTGGTTTTAAGGTGGGGTCACCTTTTGGCGGTATGATAGAAATGTTGAGTTGATAACTCTAAAGTGCAGGCCATTCTATCTACCACGTGAATTCACTAGTGTCATAATTACAGCCGTCTACATTCACCCCCGGGCTGATACAAAATTAGCAATACAAAACCTCACATCAGTCGTCACATCCCATGAAAATTCGGAACCTGATTCATTATCTATTGTCCTTGGTGATTTCAACAAAGCCAACTTGAAAACGACACTACCTAATTATCGCCAGGTCATCAATTTTCCGACAAGGGGCAATTACATTTTGGACCACTGCTATTGTCCTATTAAAGGGGCGTACCAACCAGTCAAACGATCCTCTTTAGGAAACTCCGACCACTGCATTATCCTGCTAATTCCAACATACAAGCAACAATTCAAGGAAAACAAGCCCACCATAAAAACAGTAAAAGTTTTCAACCAAGCAGCCATAGATACCCTCCATGATTGCCTCGAGGCCACCGAGTGGGAGGTATTCAGAGATACTGAGGACGTTAACAACTACACTGATGCCGTTACTGGTTACATCCAATTCTGTGAAGAAATGTGTGTCCCGAGAAAGCAAGTGAAGCAGTTTACTAACAACAAGCTCTGGTGCAACAACAAGATCCGCAAGCTCATTAAGGAAAAAGATGTAGCCTACCGTAACAAAGAACAACACCCCGAAAACTATCGGAAGTTAAAAGCAACCCTGCGATGGGCCATCAAGAACGCCAAGAGAGACTTTAAAAAGAAATTCGAAGAAAAGTTTGAGACCAATAACGTAAGACAGCTATGGTCAAACATGTCATCACTCACTAAATACAAAGGTCCAAAACACGTACTGAGTGACGACGACACAGCACTTCCCGACAAGCTGAATGAATTTTACGCTAGGTTTGACATTGCCAACAACTCGGACTTAACATCGGCTCCACTAAATGCACATCCACATGACCCACCGCCTTTTTCTGTTCAGAAATGGCAGGTTCAGTGTCATTTTATGGGCCTCGACGCACACAAGTCATCTGGACCAGATGGTATTTCGCCAAGGCTTCTAAAGACATGTGCACCACAACTGGCACATGTATTCACGGATATTTACAATCTATCGCTGCTTTCCCAACGAGTTCCGCGGGCATGGAAGACAGCTACTATCATTCCTGTGCCGAAGTCCAAAACAGTTTCTTGCCTAAACGATCTCCGTCCAGTTGCGTTGACTCCAGTTCCAATGAAAATTCTAGAGAAACTTGTTCTGTCGTATATTAAAACCATTGTACCAGAGACACTTGATCCCTTTCAGTTTGCATATAGACGCAATAGAAGCGTAGATGACGCTCTTAGTATGTGCATACATAACATTTTAGAACACACGGATAAGAAAAACACATACGCAAGGATCTTATTTATAGACTACAGCTCGGCTTTTAATACCATTATTCCACAAAAACTTTATGCTAAGCTTTTAAACGAACTGAAATTTCCTTCATTCTTATGCAGTTGGGTTTTAGATTTTTTATTAGACAGGAGACAAGCTGTGAAAGTGGGTACAAGTACTTCTGATATTGTGGTTTTAAATACAGGTGCGCCTCAGGGTTGTGTTCTGTCACCATGCCTGTACAGCTTGTTCACGTATGATTGTGTTTCATCTCATGAGAGTAATTGCATCTTGAAGTTTGCAGACGACACCACATTAATTGGCTTAATAAGTGATAATGATGAGACCTGGTATAGAAACGATGTCAACTCAGTTGTACAATGGTGTAAAGACAACGATTTGTTACTGAATGTAGGGAAGACTAAGGAAATGATTGTTGACTTCAGAAAGAATAGAAATGTGAAAGAACCCATTCATATCAGTGGCACTGCAGTAAAGCAAGTAGCCAATTTTAGACTACTGGGGGTAGAATTCAATAGCTCACTTACCTGGAAGGACCACATAGACAAACAGTTGAAAAAAGCGAGGCAAAGGGTATATTTTTTAAGAAAGTTGAAGGATTTTACTTCAAATGAAATGATTTTAGCTAACTTTTACAAATGCGTTATAGAAAGTATATTAACATTTGCAATCATAGTATGGTATGGGCGGGCCACTGTAGAAGAACGCAAGCGTCTAGATATGGTCACATCAACGTGCGGCAAAATCATCGGTCTGGAACTCCCCTCTCTAGGTGCCATCTATACTAACAGATCAGTAACAAAAACAGAGAAAATCATGTCTGACTATACCCACCCCGCACATGGGCTTTTTAAATTTTTACCAAGCAACTGCAGGCTTTTAACTTTTAAGGGATCTAAAAGGTTTTTAAAGAGTTTTTACCCATCTGCTGTGTCTCATTTTAACAACAAAAATGGAAATTTATAATTTATTTATTTATAATTTGTAACCTGAATAGCAGTCCAATTTCCGTTTTATATGAATTTTATATTTATATATTAATGGCTNCCCACCCCGCACATGGGCTTTTTAAATTTTTACCAAGCAACTGCAGGCTTTTAACTTTTAAGGGATCTAAAAGGTTTTTAAAGAGTTTTTACCCATCTGCTGTGTCTCATTTTAACAACAAAAATGGAAATTTATAATTTATTTATTTATAATTTGTAACCTGAATAGCAGTCCAATTTCCGTTTTTTTATATGAATTTTATATTTATATATTAATGGCTGAATAAACTCTTATCTTATGTATTTAAATATATATAAACAGAAAAGGGAAAAAACTGGTTTTGGGCTACTACAAATCTTTCGGCATGCTGCGAAGTTTACCACCCAAATAACAACACACATACTAAAATCCACAACCACCAATACCTAAAGGAAGAAATAATAAAAAAAAAAATAAAGTCAAATTTTTGGGAAGAATTGCAAAAAGGAGAAAACAATAAACTCAGAACATATGGAAAAATTAAACACACTTATGAGGCTGAACCTTATGTAAAACTCAACGTTTCTTTAGCTCAAAAAAGGGTATTAGCAAAAATGAGTATCAGTGATCATGAATTAGAAAAACCAAAGAAATAAACTGACAAAAGGAAATGCCCCCACTGCGACTCAATAGAAGGTGAAGCACACTTTTTTTCTAGAATGCAGTGAACACAGAGTCGAACGGGAAATACTGTTCGCTTCCATACCAGAGGTGAATTTGCAGGGTCCAACAGACAATAAACTATCTATTTTACTCAATCCACTCTCTGTAAATGTAAACTATTTCTTTGTGCTCAATAAATTATTATTATTATATGTATTCGTCAGGCATGCCCCTCCGTAACTGCACATTACTTTCAGACATAAATTTCACCCCACTTTCATGAATATCCAGAGATATCTGCTTGATTTTTATAATCGTCAAGGCTTTAGGCTTAATGTATGTAGTATGACGTGTACCCATTACATTAATAATCATATACTCAGAATTTGCTCTGTCACGGATCGAACTATAGTGTACTAGCAATAAAATCATTTTCATGCCTCCCAGCACCACTGACAAACGTCTCATTATTGCCAACCGGAACTAAAAAAATGAGCACATTGATATTGCTTTCACTGAAACGTGCAGCCAATTTTTTCCCATCCGTTTGCATCAAGCATACAATTTCCTACAAAATAATCACTACTTTGTTGTTTGTTTTTTTAAACTAACACTCTAATGGGCTGAATGTTTGCACGCACACATTTCCTGTGGCACAAAGTTGCGTCAACATGAGAGGGCGATTGATCACCCGTGAACTCTCTCTTTGGAAATAAGGTCATAATTGTGTAAATCCCATAAATTGACCGCCCCAAGAAACTGGGAATACAACAGATATAAAAAAATTATTGCCTTCTCTCTTTGTTATTCTTCTCTGTGTTCATAGAGGTCATAAACCCCATTCCCATACCTAGATCGATCTAACAGGATCAGTCCATCTTTGAAGGGTTTCTTGCTAAATTGCTTTCATCTTAAGCGGCTTCGAAGTGTGGCACGCTTACTGAAGCTGTTCAGGGGTACGTAACTGTCATTTATCAGCTTCAGTAGGCGCGCCAGACTTCTAAGCCGCTTAATCTGAAAGAACTTAAGCGAAAAACCCCTCAAAGATGAACCGATCCCGCTCGATCGNGCTATTTTCAGGCAGGACGAGACATGACGTAGTGGTTGGTAAGAATGCAATCTAAATTCCAAACACTTTATTAAGGGTTTTCTTTCCACATCTTGATTCGGGTCTGTTATATGTGCAGTAACACTTAACTTATTAATAATATGACTAAATTCTCTAAAGGTAAGAAAAATGATAAGATAAAATACTACTTTTACCATATACCAGTGCACATGTACAACGTGAATATTTAAAATTGTAATGGACCCCCCATATTTAACTTAAAACGAAGTTGTCGGCACTAGAAACCCTGATAATAAGGTGACTAGAAACCCTGGTTTTAAGGTGGGGTCACCTTTTGGCGGTATGATAGAAATGTATTTAAATATATATAAACAGAAAAGGGAAAAAACTGGTTTTGGGCTACTACAAATCTTTCGGCATGCTGGGAAGTTTACCACCCAAATAACAACACACATACTAAAATCCACAACCACCAATACCTAAAGGAAGAAATAATAAAAAAAAAATAAAGTCAAATTTTTGGGAAGAATTGCAAAAAGGAGAAAACAATAAACTCAGAACATATGGAAAAATTAAACACACTTATGAGGCTGAACCTTATGTAAAACTCAACGTTTCTTTAGCTCAAAAAAGGGTATTAGCAAAAATGAGTATCAGTGATCATGAATTAGAAAAACCAAAGAAATTAACTGACAAAAGGAAATGCCCCCACTGCGACTCAATAGAAGGTGAAGCACACTTTTTTTCTAGAATGCAGTGAACACAGAGTCGAACGGGAAATACTGTTCGCTTCCATACCAGAGGTGAATTTGCAGGGTCCAACAGACAATAAACTATCTATTTTACTCAATCCACTCTCTGTAAATGTAAACTATTTCTTTGTGCTCAATAAATTATTATTATTATATGTATTCGTCAGGCATGCCCCTCCGTAACTGCACATTACTTTCAGACATAAATTTCACCCCACTTTCATGAATATCCAGAGATATCTGCTTGATTTTTATAATCGTCAAGGCTTTAGGCTTAATGTATGTAGTATGACGTGTACCCATTACATTAATAATCATATACTCAGAATTTGCTCTGTCACGGATCGAACTATAGTGTACTAGCAATAAAATCATTTTCATGCCTCCCAGCACCACTGACAAACGTCTCATTGTTGCCAACCGGAACTAAAAAAATGAGCACATTGATATTGCTTTCACTGAAACGTGCAGCCAATTTTTCCCATCCGTTAACTTCAAGCATACAATTTCCTACAATATATGCACAACTTTGTTGGTTGTTTTTTTTAAACCACTACTCTAATGGGCTGAATGTTTGCACGCACACATTTCCTGTGGCACAAAGTTGCGTCAAAATGAGTGGGCGATTGATCACCCGTGAACTCTCTCTTTGGAAATAAGGTCATAATTGTGAAAATCCCATAAATTGACCGCCCCAAGAAACTGGGAATACAACAGATATAAAAAAAATTATTGCCTTCTCTCTTTGTTATTCTTCTCTGTGTTCATAGAGGTCATAAACCCCATTCCCATACCTAGATCGATCTAACAGGATCAGTCCATCTTTGAAGGGTTTCTTGCTAAATTGCTTTCATCTTAAGCGGCTTCGAAGTGTGGCACGCTTACTGAAGCTGTTCAGGGGTAAGTAACTGTCATTTATCAGCTTCAGTAGGCGCGCCAGACTTCTAAGCCGCTTAATCTGAAAGAACTTAAGCGAAAAACCCCCCAGAGATGGACCGATGCCGCTAGATCGATCTAGGTATGGGAATAGGGTCATAGCTTACCTATTGAAGTTCAACTCTGTGCTTGTCCGCCGCATGAGAACAGTCCACCCTTGCTCACAGTAAACCCGAAGAGTTTTCTTCATGCCGGGGACGTATATCCAATGAAGTCCATCTTCTCCTTCTAGAACAATATGCAGAAAGATTTAACAGAGGGGACGCCGTATTTATATATCACTGAGCGAGAGACAGAGAGAGAGAGAGATTGATTTCATATTCGATCAAAGTGTAATGCATTTTGTCAGTTGCTTGTTGTTTATTTATTTCATTATCTACAATTGATTAGTTATAGCGCTTTTTACGAAGTTATGACATACATGTAAATGGCACAATGAATATTTACATACATTTCTATGTCTGACTTTCTGTTTTTTTTTCAATATTGAATATTCTGTTGAAGACAACTATAGACGCATGTTGTACACGTGGAAATCATGCATTTATGCTTTTATAGATCACCTTATACAGATTGTTATTCGGGTTATCCTGTATTATCCTTTCGGTTTGAACAAAAGGATAATGATGAAAATACATCTAGTTTGTTGATCATGAGTACCAAATGCATGTGTTTACGCTGTTATAGGCAGGGACGGATCCAGAGATGTTTTCTGACAGTCTTCCAAATTATCTTTGTTGATCCATCCTCCATTTTTGACCGTCTTCCGACAGAAAAAATTAGATACCCGTCAATGTTAACTTAAAAATCTGACCGTCTTCCAGAAGACCCAGAAGACGGCCTAAATCCGCCCCTGTATAGGCACACTATACTGCAAAGTACAGTTAAAGCATGATATCGATTTTGTAACAGTAATTGGCAGAACGTCTGGTAGGTAGTGCCCCCTTATAACTCTTAATACAAACAGAATATTGTCACATTATTTGAAGGACAAGTAGCGGGATGACTCTGTTACAAGGCGAGTCTATAATGTATGCGAATACAGCGTGTTTTAACTGGTGGTGTTGTCAACAGTCAAGCATGGAGACTGACCTAGGAACCCTTTTATTCCTTTAAACGTCTCATTTGAACGGTAAAGCAATATTGGTATTCAATAAAGCAAATGTCTCTTGTTTTAAGTGTGTATCGGAATTCGTTATTGTTATTATGATCGGAATCGTTATATCTAAATTTAGTTCTGATCAGCTAACTGTTTCCAATAATTAAACAGGAGGTGAAAAGCTTTTAGTACACCTCTAATAGATCGCTGCAAACATAATCGTCTGGAATAAGTTTTGATGTTTACTCTTGAGGCCTAAAATTACCAAATAGCAATTTGAAATTATTTTCTTTTCTTTACATCTTTTCTTACCATAAAATTCTTCAAAATGTTTTCAGTTAAGTTCAAATCCTATGTTCACTTTTGCTTTTTAAGGAATGTGGAGAAACAAACACGAAAAAAAAAGGAAATTGCTCAGTGAAAGACTACTCACCGTACTCAGCGCAGTCATGCGGGAGCTAAAATTGACAAAAATAATAGGTGACTTAAGACACAAATTTGTTTTAATCTTTAAAAAAAACTATTCTACCGCTTTCTGTCTTTTTCAAAATACGTTTTGACCGAAAATAAAAAATTGTGATTCATGATCACAGGCTTGATACATGTATAAGCGCATGCCACTAAACTTGGTTCTCACAAACAATAGCACGACATTTCGTCGAGCGTTTTTACATGCAGGTTTCTAAAAACACAGTATCATCGTAATAAAATGAGCTTTAAAAGTTCATCCCCAAGGTTAAAAAAAAAAGAAAAAAAAACTTGTACCGTAGACATCTTCATATTCTCTGGCCTACCTTCAAATAGTATTGACTTCCCGATTCATCAGACAGTGACGCTCCTGTAGCGGAGAGATCTGCAGCTGAATTCAGTTCACAAACTGTGTTGCTCGATCTTAAATTAAATGACTTACAAAGAGGGTCCTTAACGCAGTCCCGTGCGCACTCTAAACTCTGAAATCTGCGTTGAATTGGTTTGGTTTGTAACACAGAGTTTGACAAGTATTTATCGCGACGGAAAACAAAGGCATCGGCATCGGCATCATCGTTTGTGCTACTGTCAGATTGTGCCCGACATAAACACAAAGTTAATGCAGAGATGACCAGAAAGCAGAACGCCCGTGTTTTCCACATTGCTGCCAAGATGTGTAATGTAGGCCTAATAGCGATAAACAATGAACGACTGAGCCGTCTGATGTTTTTATTGATCAGCCCCAGCACTTAATTAAAATTTATTTGACATATATTGTTGATATCAGTTTACCTCTGCGTCATTTTACACCAGAAACCAATGCAAAATCAATACATTTACGTTAACAATGTAACATGTGGACGGCCTTGATCCTGCCTGAACCAAATGGATCTTGACCTATTGAACAGATATCGGAAACTCATTACATCACGTTTGATAACGAATTTACACCTCGACGGTCCTTTAATGAACATACATGTACAGTATGCATAAATTGCCTAAATGGGTGAATAACACTAACTGGTTGTGCATTACTTAGTATCTAATTCGTATTTTCATAACAGCTGGCCCTTGGAGAAACCGAGAGCATTTACAGGGTAAATCTCACACATTTTATACACCCTTTACTATACGCATAAAGCGGACGTAATTAACGCACAAAAGGCAAGGCGAAGTATATAATTTTAGTATTGTGTTCCCCGAAACGTCTCCCTGCGTTCCTATTGCAAAAATCACTTTAAACCAAGAGTTCGAAAAGATCAGCAAAACGTCTCATTTCAGCGAATGCCTCAATGTGGTCCTGATTTGATACTCTCGTCTGGATCTCAGTTACCTGAAGAAACCCCATAAAAATGCCCCAACGCTCAGACAAATGACGAGATTGACATTGACAACTCTCCGCCATTTGGGGTTTTCCTCCATGGCCAAAAGCGCCATTCTTCTTTCTATAGCTTTGTGTTCCTCAGCATTTTCGCTGTCGTTGTGTAAAGCATTGTAGCCACATATCCAGTATAGGACCTTCTTCCAAGCAGGTAATTCTACTGAAAAATGATGGGAAAAAAATAGTAGATCGGTTTTGTTATCAGTTACAGGTACATGTACGATCCTCAGCAATGGAGGGGTTTAAAATTCTGAAAATTGCCCATGGTATAAGTATTTATGTTTCAATTGCTGGAACATTTGAAGTCAATCTTTTTTAAAATACGGTTATATAATGACCTTATATCTTTCAAAATTTTGAAAAAAGCTAATTCTGTTCAGAAATGCACTTTATATCTAGTTCATGTTTGTTACACCCACGCGTGGCTTTTGTAGATGAGCCCTGTCTACTTGTTTCAGATATATCTTCCGGGATCTCCTCCGATATCTCCAGTGCTCCTATTTCTTTTGATACGGAAAATACCATATTTTTAGGTTCTGTTCGTGTATCTTCATCTAGGTGTAGATCACTCTTGGTGGACCAAGTTAGTCTTACCAGCTACAATGAATAAATAAAATTTTTAAAAACTTTATTTTTGAGGTCAGTTTTTAAGTTTGAACCACATACAAACTTGCGCCATTGTGACATAAATAAGGAATCAGTTTACGGCGTGTATTTTGCATGCGTGACGTGGATAATACTACATGGAAACGCAATGATATGCAACATGAGCAATTTCTATGAAAAAAAGCTTCCATTTCTTTTATAAACAGTATTAAATGAGTTACTATATGTAAAAGCGTAGGGTTAAACGTTTTTCAATTTCATAAAACCTTGAAAATACATGAATATATAGTTCAACTTACATCTTTTTTCTCCTGAGGTTTGGTGAGGATGCTAACCACAACAGTGACAATTATACACAGAACAAATAATACACATGCATAGTTCAGGAAATGAAATTTTTTTAGAATTCCTGGTCGGTTATCTGGGATTCCGCAAGGTGGTGCTGGGAGCGCAAAGTCTGCTATCATTCTGGCGACTCCCAATATGAGCCCAACCAGTAGTCCCCAAAAAGCGCCCTGAAAAGAATAAAAAATGGCCAGCCATAGGAAATAAAATCAATTTTTCATGATATACAATATTAAAGAAGACGGAGGAAAAAGGATTTGCATATTATATTGCAAAACGTTCTCCGGTGACTTGTTTTTTTTTTTAAAGTGAAGTATCGCACGTACCTTAATAATAAAATCAAATTTTATTAAGCAGTTTTATCAACGCAGTGATAAATCACAATACGTATAAAGAAGCAACTGTGAAGAAGGATTATCACGGCTACTAGTACATGCTTTAAAACAACCGCCTTTCTCTCCTGAAACAGCATTAAACAGTGAGGAATTTACCGGTTCGTTCACCCTGCTCCAGGCTATCGCCATAACAAAGCAGGCCAGCACTGGCGGGGCAAGGTAAGAGTTGACAGACTGAAGGTAGTTTAACAGTTGACCCTCTCGTGCCCCGCCAACTATCGGCAACCAAGCAATGCTGAATCCACCAAATACAACGATGAACAATCTGAAAGATGTTAAATATTGATGATTGCCACAGTTTGTATACTGAATTATGAATGAAGTCAGCGGACAATAAATAATACTCCCCTTGGTCAATACATACGGCATGATGAACCTTCCAATCATCTATTTCTGTTGAATTTTATATTGACATTTTAACACAATGATGGATAATTGGTTATTTATTGGGCATAATCTTCAGCGAAAAACACGCCAACATATATGCATGAATTTACCACAGAAAATTAGATTTATGCCTCACATGTATAACAAGTTTCGTTTGACCGCGTTCTTTGTTAATGATAGGCCTATGTTTGAGAGATAATGCAACTGAATTAAAAAAACTTACCTCCCAACAATCATAATTTCCCATTCAGATGCTCTTTTCCTAATTTTCTTCCATATGTCAATGGTAAATACTGTGCTGCCGCTGTTAAATATGGACGACAACGAACTCATCAAAGCTGTGAGTATGGCGGCAAACATCAAACCTTTTAAGCCTGAAAATGGGGTTATATGTCATCTCACGAATATGAAATATCAAAATAATATTAGTTTGTCATCTAAATACTAAATTTAATTCTTTTCTCTAATAGGTGACTTAGTTCCTTTTAGCTCTCTTTCGTCGTTTCAGTTTGGAATAGGTTTTTTTTTTGTTACTGTAGATGATGTGTTTTCATTATGCCCCTATATTCCTTGACAAATTAGTAGTGCAGATATTTAAATATAATTATTGAATTAGGCCAATAATAAAACCTGAACTAACCCACGGGCATAAGTTGCAGTATCAGCGTTGGGTATGCAATGTTGGAGCATCCTTTGGAATTCCCGCACACTCTTGTACAAGACTCTGGGCTGGAGCATGCAACTGTGTCTTAAATATATAGACAATTATGTCAAGATCAAGGAAGATTTACACACGTTTATCATCACGTGTTTTTGTAAATGCATATACTTATATAACAGTAATTTTGGCCGCCGTTTAAATTATCATTTTGAAAGACGCCTAATACCGCTTTGTAAATTAATACTCCAAAAAATTAACGCGGTTTAATAAATATTACAAAACAGCGTAAGTTTTGTCGTGAGAAATACCAATGTTTTGGTACAGCTGAGTTATTGTCAGACAGGTACCATACTCACAGTTACAATTTCTGTCAGTAAATAAGTTTGGTTTGAAACGCTTATACATCTGGGTAAACGGGATAAAAAAATCAATGTTTTAAAAACCAAGTTAAAGACGTTAAAATACATTAATTTAATCACTGTATATTCATTACATGTTAAACAAAGCAGTACCGGAGAATAAAGCTCTGCTGGCCATCCCGGGCAGCACAATGAGGAACAATGGCAGAACCTTCAGATACGCCTCCAGAATACAACCGGCTTTAGCGTGGAGAGTGTTCCTTGCCGCTAGCGTCCTCTGTACCAGAACCTGATAGAAATATAAACAGGAAAAATTGTGATGCTTTTTTTTCGGGAGGATTAAGTGTGTAGGATCGTGTTACTTCATAATTTGTGTTCTTAAGTTATGATGTCGGTCTCTCGGTCTCAGTGTAGAACTTAGATGCGTATATCTTTGTATTCGTTTATACTATAAACATGTATGCTGAAGTTAAATCCTCTCTTTATTGACTAGTTGTTTGATGGATTAGTGTCCTCAACGTACGTTTAAGATCCTCACGGTTAATTTTTGTCACCTCTCTCTGACAACTTTTAACAAGGTTTTTTGATATGATGACATCGATTATATGTACAAATGCATGGAAGTGCACAGGAATTGCCTCAGATATATCTGCTAACATCTAATAAAAAATCAATCTGTGGTTCTCGTAGAGGATAATTTGGGGACACCATTGGCGAAACAGCGTTATAATTCTGCTATATCCAAGGTGATTGTTATACTGACCTGATTCGTGCAGAAGTACCATGCAGAGAGGACACTAGCCCCGAATACTGACCCCGTCCACGGGTAGTGTGTGTCCGAAATGTCCCGGATGATGTGGAAGGCCTGGGGGTCCGGTAGCCCACATGTCCCGTTTCCATGTAACTCTCCATTTGGTAAAGACAGGAAATACTGCGACTGCAGACCGTCGTAACCTTCAATTCTAACCAGAGCTGGAAATAAAGTTGTGTAATTTTATAGGCGGATCCAGGATAGGTGCGGTAATTTTTTTCTTACCGCACTTATCCTGGATCCGCCTATAAAATTACACGGACTTTAAAAAAACATACCTCCTCCCCGCACTTTGATCCCTCAGAACCAACTGTAAAACGCCCAAGTATTTACCAAAAATAACCTCTCTCTCTCTCTCTCTCTCTCTCTCTCTCTCTCTCTCTCTGTGTGTGTGTGTGTGTGTGTGTGCGTGTGTTTGTGTGTATGAGTTTTCCTTATTGCGTTAAACAATAATAACTAACTTTTTATGACTCGGACAGTGTAGATAGGATTATGTGTGAGTGAAAACTGATCCATGCACTAGGAGTAAGGACGTGACAGTCACTATCCCATCAATGTATGTACACAATACCTATAACGGCCAAAACTGTGGACCCCACCAATAGGACTACCGTTTGAAGAGCATCTGTATATATAATAGCTGTTAGTCCTCCTAAAAGGAAGAAAAATTCCCTTGCTTTAAAGCATGAATTTAAGCGTATAAAAATAAATGGATGATCATGTAAGTAAATAATATATTTAAATAGAAAACGGTTGAATAATCACATCGATTATATAGTTATCCACATACCCAGTACACATACCTGTATCATCATGTAGGCTTATGTTATAGTGGATTTAACAATATGAACTAAATATTTTAATTTGTATACAATATTGATATATAACATAAACGTAAACAGACAGTGATTAATAATAACTGAGAGTTGACAATTGACAGTGTACCTAACAGTGTGTACAGTGCAGTTCCAGTAAGCAGTACTAGTAAGGACAGGTAGACGTCCCACCCGAGCACCTGCTGCACTATTAACACCCCTACAAACACCCCTGCAGACAGCTTGGTGAATACCAGTAACAGGAGGTTCTGTACGGCAAGGTAGATCTGAAGACGACGGCTGCCAAACCGCTTCCGCAGGTACTCGGGCATTGTGTACACCTGTTTGTAAATATTCAGTTTTGAATATATACAAAATATCGATTATTTTTAAAAAATGCAGACTTGTACAGAGTTAAGAGTTAAGCCTTCCACGAAATAAAATGACGTTTAGGTTAGATTACATTTTTGTAATATACTCAAAATAAAAAAAAAACAAGGGTTAAGATGGTATTGCGCTATATATATATATATATATATATATATATATATATATATATATATATATATATATATATATATATATATATATATTCGGTCGTTTTGGTTTCCTCATTCTCAATTTTTTAATAAAACTGTTGCATTTGATGATTCACATTATTATCCGATGAGCTTGTGAGCAAATACGAATAAATAGAAAATTCAATATGAGTAAATAACTGTAAATCGGATGTCATGTACGACCTGCTGGGGTTTTATGCCTAATCCCCCTAAAAACATACACTTACCGACGCTGATATATAAACAGGAGCAAACACAAAGCCAAGAAGAAGAACACAGAAAATACCCTGCAATAGAAAAAAACGTTTAAAATTAAGTTAGTTGGGTTATAATCATTGCAACTTTTACTCCCAGGTTCTTATACAGGCAGGTATGATGCTTCAAATATAGATATAATGTTGTAGACTTGAAAAAAGAAACTAATGACATTCTTTAAAATGTTTCTCAATCAGTCATGTGGTAAAATAAAAACATTTAAAAAAATTAGTTGCCGATCTAATTTTAATCTTTACCGTGAACTCATAACATATCACGGCTATTCCATCAGCTGCTGCCGCCCCGGCTATACCGATAAGGCTGATGCTCCCAATGTCGCTGATGTACAGGGAGAATCCGACCTAAAATCACAACTAACACAATGATTGTGTTTCACACTTAAGCCACGTGGACACCTAACACAATCACTTCATATTACGCAATACAGAGATGCTGTACATTTGCACTCAAGATACGTAATACATAAACATCCCGTTATCTTCAGTGCGTGTGGAATCCACTGATAGAAACATACAATGGTTACACTTGTGATTTAAACTGTATGTAGTTCAAGTAGAAATGCAGTTCAATAGTACAAGTGACTGCATGGTAAAACTTTAACGCCGAGGTTACTGTTATCGTTTAAGCAAAAAAAAAAAAAAAAAAAAAAAAAAAAAAAAAAAAAAAAAAAAAAAAAAAAATGATTAGTGCATGTGTGAGGATGAAGAGGACATTTTTCTTACCTTTAGAAAATTTAGTCATATTATTGTTAAATGAAGTAATACTGCACGTATTACAGACCTAATTCAAGATATGGAAAGAAAACCCTCATTAAACCTTTATTAAAGTGTTTGGAATTAAGTTTGTAGCACCTTACCAGCCACCACGCCATGTCCCGACCCGCCAAGAAATAGCCATGAGAGTGACCTCGACTGGACCGTGTTATAGACTGAAAAAAGAACAACTTCAACAGCAACGGGCACACTTTCAGTTTGACGAGCGAATAGGCCCAACGCGAGTTTCTGGCATATTGAATATCTCCGTTGCTTCTGACCGGGAAAGACAATGTTGATTTTCTTAGTTATTATTTGCAATTTACTGGTAATTTGTAATGGTGACGATGGTAATGGTCATAATACTGATTGACATCATTCAAAGTCAGCCCGATCTTTAGCGAAAAAAGCATGGAGAGGATTTTGAAAATAAAAACGTCTCGGGTGTTAAAACCTATCTAAACCTACATCGAACCTACCCATATCACCACGGCAACCGTCAGGACAAAATGGCCGGCCATGACGCCGTAGTCCGCTACCTCCAAGGTGTTTTCCTGCGCCATGATTGAAGGCCACAAGGTCCTGCACCAGTTAGAGACGATAATGTGTTCTGTGACCCCTGTTTCAATGACTGTAGATAAGGGTAATTTATCAATATTACTTGGGTTAGTATTCTACTACCACTAGAAACGCTGTAACCTTTCTGGCGAAGAACAATATTAATAAAGTGAGCAACAGCTGTCGTGTGACATTTTCATTGTTAAAAAACGGTTTGATTATCAAAAAAAGTATCAAAGCACTGATCAATGTATACTAAAGATAAAAGATTAAANAAAAACTGATGAGTGCATGTGTGGGGATGAAGAGGACTTTTTTCTTACCTTTAAAAAATTTAGTCATATTATTGTTAAATGAAGTAATACTGCACGTATTACAGACCTAATTCAAGATATGGAAAGAAAACCCTCATTAAACCTTTATTAAAGTGTTGTAGCACCTTACCAGCCACCACGCCATGTCCCGACCCGCCAGAAAATAGCCATGGGAGTGACCTCGACTGGATCGTGTGATGGACTGAAAAAAGAACAACTTCAACAGCAACGGGCACACTTTCAGTTTGACGAGCGAATAGGCCCAACGCGAGTTTCTGGCATATTGAATATCTCCGTTGCTTCTGACCGGGAAAGACAATGTTGATTTTCTTAGTTATAATTTGCAATTTACTGGTAATTTGTAATGGTGACGATGGTAATGGTCATAATACTGATTGACATCATTCAAAGTCAGCCCGATCTTTAGCGAAAAAAGCATGGAGAGGATTTTGAAAATAAAAACGTCTCGGGTGTTAAAACCTATCTAAACCTACATCGAACCTACCCATATCACCACAGCAACCGTCAGGACAAAATGGCCGGCCATGACGCCGTAGTCCGCTACCTCCAAGGTGTTTTCCTGCGCCATGATTGAAGGCCACAAGGTCCTGCACCAGTTAGAGACGATAATGTGTTCTGTGACCCCTGTTTCAATGACTGTAGATAAGGGTAATTTATCAATATTACTTGGGTTAGTATTCTACTACCACTAGAAACGCTGTAACCTTTCTGGCGAAGAACAATATTAATAAAGTGAGCAACAGCTGTCGTGTGACATTTTCATTGTTAAAAAACGGTTTGATTATCAAAAAAAGTATCAAAGCACTGATCAGTGTATACTAAAGATAAAAGATTAAAAGAGACTTCTCAGTAAAATAATAGAATTGATAACAAACACTGGTTGAGGCAATATTCCAATCATTTACATTGCGTAATTCATTTGGACAAATTCTTGGACTGAATGTTTTTTTTTTCACAAAAAGTTTCGAAAAACAACAACATTCCAATAAATTTATAAATTTCCTAGATTACGCACAAATTAGGCAACACTTAGGTAGTTTCGTGATTTTCACATTTTATTTAAAATGATATAAACCATAAGATACATTCATGTATAGTAAAGGACAAGGTTTTTGAAGTTTGGAACATTGGATTGCAATTGAAAATTCTGACTTCATCGAAGAATGAAAGGACGTTTAATGGCCAAAGTGCCAGTTGTTTCAGTTAAGCGTCCAAACTATATAATGCCCAACTTCCCATTATATGTATATATGCTTTATTTGAACATGGCCTTGTTAATTATCCGCAATTTCTTATAATGTTCATAAGTTGGACGGATGCGCAATAAGATTCAATAAATTGTATTAAATCAAATAAATTATATAATGATATAATATAATATAATATATTTATTGCTTTGATTGAGAAAGAAAACGATGCACTGCAATGTAAAGTGGGCGTATGCTATATACAGACGATAAAACGGGGCGACTGAAGCTATATACTAGTAATTTTATTAATACTTATTTTTGCCTTCCAATTATGTACTACAAAATATAAACAAACTCTTAATTCCTATATACAATATATATATATATAACTGATTATTTATATCAAAATTTTACACCTTTATACTTCATCATATCACAAGATTAATGCCTTTTCCATTTAGTGTTAAAATTGAGGACAATTTCAGTTGATAACAAAAATGTCTTTTTTGGTGAGAATTTGTTATAATCTCATCGATAGTGTTACCCAAAGAAACCCCAGAGAAATGCCCCGACACCAAGGCACACGATAAGATTAACGTTGATGATTCGCCGCCATTTTGGATTTTCCTCCATTGCCATAGCAGCCAGTTTTCTGTCGGCCTTCTCGTGGTCCTCTACGTGTTCGTTTTCGTTCTGAGGTGTATGGCCACATATCCAGTATATTACCTTCTTCCACGTGGGCGTTGGTTCTAAAGATATGATCAAACATCATTATTATTTTTTAAATTTTTAAATCAAGATGCAGTACTCATGTTTTAAAAGTACCAAATGCCATTTAATATAAACTTCATTACTTTTACAGTTTTTGTAGTTTAACAATAAAGATATTTAAACTACCCTCTGGTTTATTCAGAGAAATTTTCTAAATTTTACATCATAATTATTCAGTTCGTTTTAAATCACGAATCTCCTAAACATGGACAGTAAATGGTCCTTGATAAACAAGTATTTTGAATTTTAATTTTGATTTAAGAATATTGCGCCTTACTCTGAACGTCAGCGCTGGCAATCGACCAGGAGTCCATGGACTTGTGTATAATATCTTCCTCATAACTTCGTATTTCTTCAAGAGACTTCTGTGAAAGTTCTATTGTCTCTATGCCTCCAGATGTCGCAGTGGCGACAGTTGTTGTGGACACGTCAAGGCCCTCGTTGTCCCTCCCCGTGGTTATTTCACTGGGATGACAGTCATAGCGCGTGCCCCACGTCAGTCGCGCGAGCTGAAATATAGGGATACGTGTGAGAGACAAAAAGGGTGCAGACATACGCTTCACATGCAGCTACACACACTTAGACGTATTTTGGATTTGGTGAAAATTTAGTCTTTATTTTGATAGCAAATGGGCATCACTGCTTTTACTCAATGTTGCATCCTTCTTTATCCATTTGTTTAACGTACGAGTGCAAGTATATGGAATGTATTCCGGCCAGACCAAGTAACCAGTTTAAAGTACCATTGAAAGTAAAAACTCACCTCTTCCTCTGGTTGTGGCTTCGTAAACATACTGACGGTTATTGTCACAATAATACAAACAATGAATAAGGCAAAGGCGTAGTTTAGGTAATGAAAATCCTTCAAGATCCAAGGACGACTGTCTGGTAGACCGCAAGGAGGCGCTGGTAAGGCGAAATCAGCAATCATCCTGGCCAGACCCAAGACGAGCCCAACCATCATTCCCCAAAACGCACCCTATGAAAAAGAAAAGAAAATTTACCTTGAAATTGAACATACCTGTATAAAAATTTTGTTTCAGCTGATTAAACTATGCAAAGGAAAAAAGTACATGTATATTCTAAGTAAAACATAATACAACTGTTGGGCGAATCTTAAGGATGGTTAATACTATACTGTGTATGGGGTGTGATCACCATTCATTTATACTGTACTAGCACATGTAGTATCCATAAATTATGTGTACTCAATTATGTGTATGTGTACTCCAATTTGCTTTATTTATTTCTACCTAGTGCTTTAGCTCACCGGTTCATTTATCCTTTTCCAAGCAACACCAAGACCAAAGCAGGCTAGTATAGGTGGCGCCAGGTACGAGGCAATGGACTGGAGGTAGTTGAACAGTTGACCGTCTTTAGCGCCCCCTACAATGGGCAGCCACACAACGCTGAACCCAATGAAGACAAGGACAAATACCCTAGACAGAAAAACACGATTCTTTGACTGGTTCGTTTTCAAAGATAATGTATGTTAGTCTTAGAAATAACTTAACTATAAAATAAATTGACATGCATAAGAAAACCAACTCTCAAGATGTACTACACCAGTAGCCATACAAATGATATTCTTTCTAACTTCATTTTATAAAATTTTACAATAATTTTAGAGTTTTGCCTTCGTTCAATGATGCTGATGTACTTGTGCTGGACTGAACGGAAGATTAATATATATATTCATATCGTTAATTAAGCTATAATATTGAATAAAGATGACAACCTACCGCCCCACTATCATCAGCTCCCACTCTGATGCGTTTTTCCTGATCTTCTTCCAGACGTTGATGGTGAACACGGTACTACCGCTGTTAAAAATGGACGTCAAGGAACTCATCAGAGCGGCCAACATGGCGGCCAACATCAGCCCTCTCAGACCTTTAAAGTATGATATGCAAGAAATCAGCATGATTAATTACGTTTAAATAAACACAGAAGTATATAAAATGAAGGATATAAAGATCTGTTTAAATTATCATTAGAAGTGTTTATCACTCCACCTTAAAAGGCTAGGGATCGTGGAATTATGGATAAAATCAAATATGTCTAGCAAGTTACCGCCCCTTTTCAAACAAAAAGTAAAAAAATATGCTCAAGCCCTCTACAGCCGCGTTCACAATAGTGCTTACTTAAACCGAATAGTTTGCAAATTTCGGTGGGAGGCGAATTGGCGCTAATGACTTGCCTGGTTTTAGAAGCTCCTACTCTGTGTCAGGTATATAAACTAGTAAACAGTATATAGCTAACCTGTGGGCATGAGTTCCAGCACTAGTTTGGGGTATGCTATATTAGCACATCCATTGGCATTGCCACACACACGATTACATTCTTCTGGAGTGGAGCAGGCCACGTCGTCTGAAACAAGGATGGGGATTTATACAAGTCTCTATACAAATTTGTATCCAATGGTCGTGGATTGAGTCCCGTCCTCCTAAGACTCCATTTACGTAGCCTAGGGTATTCCTAATTTATATCACATACATAAAACGTGGCATGCACCCGGAGTTCACATCAATAGACCATACCGTACTAGTAAGAGCCACAAGANAACCGTACTAGTAAAAGCCACAAGAGCCCATCCGAAATTAGTATACATCACGTGTTTCAAGGTCTATCAGAACCCGAGGAGCAGCGTACTTGTTAATGCTGGTTGGAAATTGAAACAAGTTTTTAAAAGACACGGAACATCAGGGTGTCAAAGGTGACTAACCTGTGAACAGCACCCTGCTGATCATCCCTGGCCAAACCATCAGGAACAGAGGCAGTACCTTGAGGTAGGCTGCCAGTATAGATCCCGCCTTGGCGTGCAAGGTGTTCCTGGCTGAGAGAGTTCTCTGGACCAACACCTGGAGAGACAGGTTTGTGCCTTAAATATTGTAAAATTTAAAAAAAAAAATGTGATTCACAGAAAGTATTCCACACCACGTACTTATAAGTCAATTGTTAGATAACGTCAGGCGTGAGTGTACATTGGCGGAATCAGGTCACACATGTATATAAAGCAGGAGCACTACTGGCAGTAAACGAATGTTTGAGATGGCAGTAGGAGAGTGTGCCAATATTGGTATTCTATAATACTAATCCAACGTAATTCTCTCTCTCTCTCTCTCTCTCTCTCTCTCTCTCTCTCTCGTACATCCTATACATCTACCTGGTCAGTACAGAAGTACCATGAAGACAGGACCGTGGCCCCAAACACCACCCCTGTCCACGGGTAGTTGGGGTCAGTAGCCTCACGCAGGATGTGGAACGCGTCCGGCTCAGGTAGACCACAGGAGGTGTTCAGATACTTGGTGGCATTGGGGACAGACAACATGTAACCGGCCTCCATGGCCCCGTAGCCGCCAACACGGACCATAGCTGAAATATCATAATTAGGGGATTGAGGGGCTTTATTCTTCTCATGTACAGGTCGAAACAAGTGTCTTTTATTGAGATAATTAAGTTTATACTCATAACCACACACAATCTTGACTATTATTATACAGTGCTTTTTATTCTTTTTACGTGAGTATCTGAGTACAAATATTTCTTGAGACGATAGAAATCGAGATTTATAAAGGGAAACAAAAAAATAGATAAAAAAGAAGTGTTTCCAACAGTTTTACCTATGACGGCTAAGATCACGGCTCCAATCAGTAACACAAAGGTTTGCAAGGCATCCGTGTAAATGACTGCCGCCAGACCGCCTGGGAGGACAAATGCAGATTTATATTACAATCCAGGAATCTGGTTTCCAATGTAAAATTTAAATGTTAAACTGATGGTGTGAAAGAATCGAAGTGGAAAATACTAGGACAGTTATATTGATTGAACGTCCAGGGCTCCGTAACTCGAAAGCACCGCAAATTGCGACCGAGCGCAAGCGTCTCTATCCCATAACTCGGGATTTACTCGCCCCATATAATAGCCTCGAAATAAAAGGTGATATCGTTATTTGCAATGCTTTCGAGTCATGGAGCCCAGTTTGATTGTTAAGTTTTGCACTTTAGATTTATCCTTATTCCGACCAAGCAGAACTCGACAGTTTGCGAACTGTTTATCTTTATGATGTATCTACACAGAGCAATTAATGCAAAATCTACTACGGCCAAAATCATCTGCCTTTGAAAGGATTTTATCGCAGAAGCAATACAGCGGCTTTCTCTTTACTTATTGCAATAAAACAAACAAACAAACAAACAATCAAACACAATGATTACCAATTTACCTAACACAGTATACAGAGCGGTTGCCACCATGAGCAGCAGCACTGAGAGCATCTGGTCCCAGCCCAATACTTCCTTCACGATCACAGTCCCCGCAAATATCTCCGCCGACAGTTTGGTGAAGGCGAACAGGAGCAGGTTCTGGACGGCAAGGTAGACCTCCAGACGTTGGCTGCCGAACCGTTTCAGAAGATATTCTGGCATGGTATAGACCTGGGAAGGTGGCAGGAGAAACGTTTAACTGTTACTAATACAGATGGACATAATATTAGAGAAAAAATACAATCCGGAGGAGCTGATTTAACGCCTGTAAAACACCAATAAAGAATATGAACAAAATGCATTTCTTGGTCTTAAGCACAAGCTAGAGAAGTATTGTTTTACACAAAGAAAATTCATCAGATGCAAATATTGATTTCATGAAACACAAGATAATTCTCCGGAATAATTCACGTTGTTCTCAGAAATTGTGCATATTACCGGGGTGTGTCTATTCATGGTTTCAGAGCATAGCGTCACTTACCCCAGCAGATATATATACAGGGACGAAGAAGAACCCCAGGAGAAGAATACAGAACAAACCCTGGAGTAGAAAATATGAAAATATATCTAATATTCTAATAATCGTCTCTTTTATTCTTAAAACACCGTCATTATAAATGAAGTAGAACCAGTTTAGCATAGGGGTAAAAAGATCGTCGTGCGTTTGAACTAGACATTACTATTGCAAACACACCCCACCTTAAATGTACATATTATATGAAATTTTAAAGTTAAAAATAATGACCAGATTGGTCATATACAAATGTAAAGCAAAACGAACTGCTCCTATTTGTGCAAGAATGACCTTGTTTTAAGATGGAAATATGTATAAGATCCACCTACATAGTTGTACATGTTTACCTGTTCCTTAAACGAACAATAAGAAATGTAACGATTGAGTGTTCATCTTTTTTGGCATCCTCTCCTTGATTGAATATTTATCTAGACTCTGATCATCGATTACGATTATCAGTCAGAAAAATCATCAATCACGATTATCTGTCAGAAACATTTTTTTATCTTTGGGGGCAACTAAAGGTTTGAGTGAAATAACATAACTAGTGGCTGATGTTATTTTTAAGAATTCTTTTGCAGTCCTTGAAACGCCTTGGTCTTATAAAGATACACCTTCGACTTAAAGAACAAGTGCATTCAACACCTCTGCTGGATGAAGATTTAACACATTGTTAGATTTACAACACAATTGTTATATCATTTCATCCCACTGAGGGCACACACTAGCATGCAGACTTTGATAAAATTTAATTAAACTTCCTTTTCAATCAAGTTCTAAATTAAAAGCATTAATACATCAGGTGTAGTGTACTGCAGGTAGCTGAATTAGATAGGCGGGACATTAAGCCGCTTCGTCAACACGATCATCGTAAACAGACGGAGGCGTTGTCTTTCAAATAGCATGTTTGTTTTTGATAAGCCACGATATTAATCAATAGATTTGCACTCAAACTCTAGTGGCCTCAGTCAGGGTGTGTTTTAATAGGATATTTCTGATATTGGATATTACTGGACAAATAAACATAGTAATGAAGTTGTTCGGGGGAAATTTATCAAGGTCTTAATTTCTCCATTAATATAAATATGATATTATTTATTTATTTATATGAATATGCTTAATATTATAATAAAATCGAATTAGTGACAATGCCCAACATCTGATCTGTATTAAGAGGGTATAAGTTTTTTAATGTAAAGTATATGATAAATTATCTAAAGTGATCTTGCCAAAGACATCCTACAAGTATAAGCTTACCGACAACTCGTAGCAGACCACAGCTATACCGTTGGCACTTGCTGCTCCCGCCAGACCTATAAAACTACTGCTCCCTATATTACTCACGTACAGAGATAAGCCTACCTGAAAACAAAGCCAAGATTGTTCACAATATATTCAACAGCTCGCAATTAACCTTGAAAAAAATAACAGAAAACGCAATATGAGTTTATAATTGTATAAATTAGAATATGGAGCGGTGTGAAAGAATTCAGACTCCGCAAAACATGGAGTCCGCCCCCTCCCCCCCCCCCCCACCATTAAATTCATACAGGTTACGGTTTTAGCGTGACATTACTGAGTCCAAATCTGTTTTTTGTTTACAAATCGAAGGCAATCGGCCCCAGTCATGATCGACGGTGCTGGCGTTCTGTGTGTGTGTGTGTGTGTGTGTGTGTGTGTGTGTGTGTGTGTGTGTAGGTATGTTTGTGTATGATTAGTGTGCGTACAGCGAGCTAGATACATTTCGATATATTTATATAAGGCTGAGAGAGAGTGAGGGGGGAGGAGAAACAGAGAGAGAGAGAGAGAGAGAGCAAACGAGGGAGAAAGAGAATGCTGGATGAGCGGGGGGGGG